ACTTCATCTATATTATTCAGGACACCTTGTATGTTTAAATGGTATTATGAGTTATATTCACCACTTACAGATTTAGCCACATCTTGCAAATCTGGGCTAAGTAGTTGCTATTCATTTGCACAACCAATTTTTTCCCTCTCACGCTCAATTTTCCTTTTATATACTTCACAATTTTTGTCCAATGGTCCATGATTAATAGGTAATCCTAGATTAAAATCCTGGTTTGCACTTTTACAATTTGGACAGCATTTGTACATTTCACTGGTACTACAGTTTTCTGTTGAATGTCCTTCTAATCCACAAGTAATATATCTTCCAGATTTTGTGCAGTATTTAGCTATGTGGTTAAACCCGGTACATTTATAGCATCGCAAAACATTGATGTACTCGAAAACAGAGCAAATAGACATGTCGATAAAAATAACACCCTCATTCATAACACACTTAAAGGTTTCATTTTCTTGACTGTAACTACTCTATGTGAATTTTCTTGAAAAGATTCATTTTGTGATTTTATAGTATTTATTAGCTCGTCTTCTGCATATTCTTGACAAAAACCAGTAACCTTGATTTGTGGTTTTTATCTATTTCTGAAGTTTTCACTGTATATGTTTCTGGCATTTTTGATTTTACTTCTTTATGCTTCTCGGTATCATCTTTTGTTTTACATGGGATTTTCACGCCACCATCCTTCAAATCATAAACTTTTTCAATAGTAATTTTCAAACTTTTAGGATTCACAAATTTTGCGATGTCTTTCTTTGTGTTATTACACTCTTGTTGGTTATTTTAATACTGGTGATTGTTTTTTTGCTGTACGTGTTTGCAATGGTAAGCATTGCTACTCATAATCTACCATTGCTGTAGGCGAATGAACGGTTGAAGTCCCTGAAGCTTTAACCATATCAGCGTAATTTGTAATTACTTCTTGTGACGGCTGTTGCATCTTCCCAATTTTTTGTTTAATTGGTCTATCTGTTCGTACAATTCCTTTATTAATTTTTCTTGAATCGAAGTGGTATAATCTTCTACTTTCAAAACGTCCTCTGTACAAAATCCCTTTTCACTCAGTGAGACCACAGTCTCCACTCCCTCACTAGCTCCATCCTTTTTAGACTTCTCCTCCATATTCAAACTAAAAATTCAGGAATCTCCTAAAAACCTTTTTTTTTAGCTTGACCTAATTTTTGAAATTAAATTGCTATCGCCCCCATCTAGAAATGTTAACACATTCTGTAAAAAATTGGCAGTTGTTTTATATGATTTGTAAAGACCTTATACAGGGTGCGGCAGAGAGAATGGACGGTTTAAAAAAAATCATAAAATAGTTAATTTTAACTCGAAAACAAATTTATTGATGGAATCAGGTTCACAAGGAAATAGCATTTGAAACAGTTAAGTGTGGAAAATCACATCAGGCATGTGGTGGCCGAAATCGTTGATGCAGTGCTGGAGGCGTTCTTGGAAGTTCGCGTAGACTCTCTTCAGCATCGCTCTCTCAACTTGAGCGACTTCCACGCGAAATTCGCCCTTCAATTCGTCCAGAGTTCGGGGCTTGTTCGCGTATACTCTAGCCTTGAGGTGTCCCTATAAGAAAAAATCGCATATGGATAAATCTAGGGACCGAGGATGCCAATGAACATTGCCAAACCTGGAAATAACGCGACCATGTAAGAGAGGGCGATTAACGTCCATGGATGCTCGGCTGTGTGGGCGGTCGCCCCATCCTGCTGGAACCACACACGTCGGATTGGAACACATCGCCGTCGTAATTCAGGGAGAAAGAAGTTGGTGATCATGTCGACGTAGCGCTCTGAGTTCACGGTAACATCACGACCATTACCGTCTTCGAAGAAGTAAGGGCCAATGATGCAAGTTTGCGATACAGCGCACCAAACCGTTAGTTTTGGGCTGTGCAGCGGTCTTTCGTGTAACTGTAGCGGATGTTCATTAGCCCAATAACGACAATTCTGCTGGTTAACCATGCTGTTTAGGTGAAAGTGGGCTTCGTCACTCATAAACAAAATGAGGTTCTCATTTTGATCGATCAGTGCTTCCAGCTCACGTGCGAAGTTCATTCGTTGTGCATAATCTCCGGGCTGTAACTGTTGCACAATGGCCAATTTGTAGGGGTGAAAGCGGAGATCCATACGCAAAATTCGTCTTACCGAACGATCACTAAGGCGAAGTGCAGCATGTTTCCGGGAAGATCGAGTCGGACTGCGAAGAAAGACCTGTCGAACGCGTTCAACATTTTCAGGAGTTCGAACTGTTCGCGGTGCTCCTCTTGGTCTTCTGTTGATCAGTTCACCATGCCTGCGAAGTGATTCAACCCAACGAAGGATGGTGTTTCGAGAGGGAACAGCTCTATTCCGATGAATGTTGAAGTGGCGACGAAACTCACGCTGTACGACGATGACTGACTCATTATTTCGGACGAAACTATCATAGGCGAAAACGCGGTGCTCCACCGTCCAAGGCTCCATAACGACAACTGGTAAAATAATGCTAGGATCTCACGAGTCAAACGGCACCCTCCCCACCTCTCTCGTAGACAAAAACGTCCGTCCGCTCTGCCGCACCCTGTATGAAGCTGATTATTTGGGTCGATTTTAATCTAGATTTATATAGAAATCCGAATCTGAAGTATTTATTTGAAGCTACATGGAGTTTTAATTGTGTGCCAGTGGTGCAATGGCCTGCAAGTAACATAACCTTTACACTTAGATAAATCTGAATATATGCTAATTCACCTTGAAGTGTCCTTTGAATAGCCAATTTATAGTATTTTTCACACCTCAAAAGTGTCCAGATACGATTGCTGTCAATAAGTATTTGCTTTCTTTGTTTAGTTTAATTTATTCCTGACATATAAAATGCAACACCCAGAATTATATATTGAATTTTGATAAAAACTCGTAAACATATTTGCTATCATGGAAGTATACGCTGATAAAATGTTGAAGACATTCCGTGCCGTACTTTTTTGTAAAGGCTTTTTTTGTCATATCAGAATTCGAACAACATGAACATGTTTAATTAAAATTCAGTGATTTTTCTGTATTGGTTCCATTTGTTTCATTGTTGTTCCATTGCATTATCATGCCTAGAGTTCGCAGACGCGCTAGTTTCACTCAACTTTCCGAGTTTGAGAGGAGTCGGACAATCGGGTTAGGTGAAGTCGGACTTTCTTTTAGAGAAACCCCTAATGAATCAAAACGAAGCTACTGTAATGAGATGTTGTCGAGTGTGGTTCCAAGAAAACCGAAATCGATGAGTTCGAGGTACTCGACGTCAAAGGCAGACTAGAGAGCGATACGATTATTATTTGAGGCATAATAATTTTCTACAAGGCCAGTTGCGAACCAGTGTTTTGATGCTGTCAGAAAAGGAATAACAATGAGGACAGTTAGCGCCGAATAAGGTCTTTTGGATTGTTTTAATACCGTCCCCATCTTGTACTACCTCTGACTCCACAGATCGTCGGCAATGATTGGTATGGAGTAGGGAGAGACTTGAATAGATTATGGAATGGACCACAGTCGTGTTCAGCGATGAGACCAGATTCTGTTCGAGCACACATGATGGCCGTGCAAGAGTAAGGAGAAGACGTGGTGAAAGTCCACCAATATTCCATCGAACGACAAATTCATCGCACTGTGGGTGTTATGGTATATGGGGTGTCATTGCTTACGGAAGCAGGTCACGATTAGTGTTCATTCGAGGTAGCATGACTGTCCAGCGTTATATCCAGAAGTTTTACAACCACATCTGCTTCCCTTTTTGGAAACATCGCAAGATCCACTTTTTTAGTATTACATTGCACGACCTTATGTCGCACGTGTTAGTTTAGACTTTTTAGAAGCATCCAGAGTAAATTTGCTTCAGTGGCCTCCTCGATCTCCAGACCTTTCCCCTACTGAAAATGTATGGGACATGATGAGAAGTACGTTGCAAAATTCACCGCACCCTCCACAAACATTGGAGGCTCTACAAAACCAAATTCAGATTTCCTGGGATACAATACACCTAGAAGACATCAACTTAACATCGTCGCGGCATTGATTGGATTAGGTGATTGATGTGGTGTAGCGAACAGAGGAGCTTCAACACATTAAGGTGGAATATCTCGGCTATTTCGAGTTAAAATTTTAATCACTTTCTAATTATCACTGGAACTAAAACTTGTAAAAGTATACTCAAAATTACAGCACGCCTAGTCGGTGTTGCATTTGCTATGTCATTTAGTATAGTATTAATATTCTGCTGTTCGAGAGAACGCCCAGCATAGTTAGCTACTTGAATATCCTTTGTAAAAAAATAATGAAAGCCACTGTATTGTGTTGACACGTTGTCACTTTAGTAGGTAAATGAGTCAAAAGTATTCAATAAAACTACACAATTTTGGCAACAAACAGTGCAATGTAAATATATAAGCTTGGCTCCTAATCTATTCGAATTCGTTGGCTCAAACTAGCGTCCATTACATAATACGCTGAAAATATACTATGGTGTTATTCTTCATCTTCAGAATCCCCCGATTTCCAATGTTCATGTTTATATCACAAAAACAGCTGGAATTATTGAGAAAAAAATGATTTTGAAACTTACACTCAACACCCTCTATCTCATTAACGAGCCACGGTTTGCAAGGCATGTTTTTCATGATACTAGTCCTGAATGGACTCATCTAGGATTCTTTTTGACGCATCCATTACAGAACGCCCGGAAATACTTCCTTATGGATAACACAATTTGGATTTGTTTGGTAAAGCAAGTCAGTAAAGATTTCCAGCCGAAGTCGTACATCAAATAACTGTTCGAGCTTTCGATTTTCCAAAGAGCATGATGATGAGCATGACCTAGACACTCAAATGTCTTTGATATATAGCATTAGCACCGCAAGCTCAATCAAGTTCTTATTTTTATACTTCATAATTTGAAAAATGTAACTGATCACAAATGAAGCAAAGAATATCTATTATGGATAGAAAACTTACAACATATTTAGAAATACTACTGGGCATCTCTGGGATAAGAGAATTCTTCTCAACCCTATTTTTTGGAGTGCCTCTGCTAGAGCTCAATATCAATTTCCTAGGAGGCTTGATAGTATTGGTATCCGGTGTTGCCGCTAAATGCTGTAAGCAAAATGATATTAAAGAATAATGTGATTATCTCCCATGTAGCTGCATTACTGACCGCAACACCCAAACCTTCTCCAGCATCTGCAATTTTTGTTGCAAGATCCATAAGTTTTTCAACCAATTTCCTTTTTTCCAACTTCGAAGCATACTTTAGTCCTAGTGTTATCACTTGAGGATTAGATAAAATCTCCATCAAGTCAAATGCTCTTTCATCTAAATTGTTCCTACATGCTAACTAAAAAAAACAAACAAAAAAATTGGCACAATTAAAAAAAATAGTCAATCTCTTGGGTACTTTGAAATGCTTTTACTAACTCATATTTGGCTACTTTGCTTTAGTATATCTTTTTGGCGCATTGTTACGATTGTGCTCAAGTAGGTGAAAATCTGACGATCGCCTTCTACCAATGTTTTGCCTAGTTTTTCACAAGACCATACCCATTATGTGTACTTCCCGTTCGCATGTCTCCAAGACTAGACCTATATCGCAGCATCCCCATTTTAGCCTATGTTACTAATTTAGATTTTTTTTTTTTTTTTGGCACTAGGACATTGCCCCATTAGCCAGAATCAAGTATTTATCTATTATATCATACACACATATATAATTTAAAACGTGTAAAATGGCAATGACGTAGCAAGCAGATCCCCTCAGCTATCAGGGTATTGCAGGAAAGACATTTTGGTGACACAGTCGTATTTGGGCGAAGGAGCAAATACTTAACAAACAGTAGGAAGAATTGATTATTAAATTTCTTCTAATGCACACTCTCCACTCTGGATGAAAAACAAAAAAAATAATATAGAAGAACTAAGAAAGTGTTATCAGGAGGGGGCGGGGGTTAAGCATTACACACAAATTTTCAGATGACATTCGTGTCTAAAGGACACCATAACTACATATTAAACCTATGCAACTCTAAGGGGTAGGAGAGAGGATGGGTCAGACAGGGACACACGTTCTTCTCGCCCAGGGACCCGTCAGGGCATTTTTCATTTTTCACATACAACAATTAGGCCACGGATATGAAGGATATATTTATACATAAAGGTACAAAAACAGAGGATAACTAAAATACGATTGTTATATTTTGATGCCAGAATTTCTGATAAATTTAACAACGAGAATGATCACATCAGATCTACCTAGCGAAAATACATGAGATGTATTTAGGGGGGCAGATATGCCAGATTTCACCAAATCGGAGTAGAGTGCATTGCAGTGATCCAGGAATTTAGCGCAACCAAAGAAACAGTGATCCAAGTCACCATAAACTTCACAAACATCGCACAGTGCAGATGGGACCAAATTTAATCTTGCAAGGTGTGATGGAAAAACACCATGTCCTATTTTCGCACGGGTGATGCAAGAAATATATTTTCTGGGTATTTTGAAATTTTCGTGCCAGTATCCTCGTGGCAGGCTAGGGTGTATGAGGTTGTATCTTGTAGGATTAGTAAAACAGTATTCTATCCATTCACTGCGCCATCGCTTGAGCAAATTACCTTTAAGTATCACTCGATTGTCTTGCATGCTTAAGGGTATGTCCAGCTTAGTTCCAGATGTTATACTCATCTTTGCTAGATCGTCAGCTTTTTCGTTGTGTATTATCCCAGAGTGGGCCTTCACCCAAACTAGTGTAATCCTGAGGCCTCGTTGTTTTAGCTGACTTATTTTCCATCTTATGTTGAATAAGTGTATATTTTGCATATCGAAAGGACTGCCGTTTCTTAAACTACTGACAACAGAGAGGGAGTCCGAGAATATAGACGTGTTACCAAGATTGTGGTCCTCTACAAACTGTATGGCTTGGAATATAGCAATAGCTTCTGCAGAAAAAATCGTGAATTCATTTGGTAGTTTAAACATGGAAAAAATATCTATTGAAGGAATATAATGAGCGCATCCCGTTCCTGACGCCGACTTCGATGCATCGGTGTAAATGAATGTATCACCTGCTAAGTTACTCTGCACTTCTCGAAGTAGGTTCTGAATGTGGTGTGGTTGTTGCTTGTAAGCTGGTACTCTAACATCAAATCCTGATAGTAAATGAAAGTAACTTATATCTTGGATCAATCGTTGGCTATGAGAGGTTAGTTGTATTCTGTTGGCATATTGTATGGCACTGCATAGAGGCGGGGAGTTTCTTTTGGTCCAATATTTGCATGTCAAGTCCATGGTGTTTAGACGATGAATTTTGCTCAGTAAGTGGCTATCCGCGTGTTGTACCTTAAGTAGAAATCTGCTAGATAACATTTGCCTTCGAAGATGTAAAGGAGGCTCCTGTGCTTCTGCTCGCAAAGGTCCGACTGGTGACGATTGCATTGCTCCAAGACATTTCCTGAGAAATTTATTCTGTGTTATATCTAGCACATGAAGGAGATTTTTACTGGCAGAGCCATAGAATATGCTGCCATAATCAAGGATAGATCTAACATATGATCTGAAGAATAATATTGCGATCTTTTGATCGGAGCCCCACCATACCTTGCAGATCATCTGGAAAAAATTGAAGGCTTTCTCACATCTACTGACTACTTGTTCGATATACGGCTTCCATGTGAGCTTTTTGTCAAGGATTACGCCGAGATATTTGACAGAAGTTTCAACTTTGAAGGATAACCCTCCCAGTAGTATGTTCCTCTGTAATGATACATTGTGTCGTGAGAAAACGCAAAAGGATGATTTTTTCAACGATATGTCGAAACCATGTTCCATTAGCCACTGTTTGTAGTGTTCCATTGAAGAATTTAGCGTAGATATACATTGATTAAGTTGACGGTTCTCTATATATACACAAATATCGTCTGCATACTGGACCAGCTGACATGGGGTTTGCACATCATGTAAGTCTGCCGAAAAGATATTGAATAAAATTGGGCTTAAAACTGCGCCCTGTGGGATACCTTCCTGCACTAGTCGTGGTCCAATCTTTCCGCCACTGTCGTTGCGTAGAAAAATATTCCTATCACGGTATAGGTTTGTTACAGTAAAACTAAAGTGAGGTGGGATGCCAAATTTTTCCAGTTTGTTTCGAAGTATGTTTAAATTGATGTTGTCATATGCACCTGTAATGTCTATGAAGATGCCTGCTAAGTAGTTGTTTCGCGTGAAACACATCTGAATGTCGGTGACAATATTCGTAATAGCGTCTGCTGTTCCAACTCCTTTCTTGAAGGCATATTGGTTGTTAGGAAGTGGATGAGATCTAAACCACCATTCCAGGCGATTTTTGATCAATCTTTCAAAAGTCTTCATGACGCAGGATAAAAGAGATATCGGGCGATATGAGTCAGCGCAATTGGGATCCATGTTTGGCTTCAAAATTGGAACTATAACGATGTTTTTCCATTGGCTAATTGTGTCTGCATTCAGCCAAATGTTGTTAAATATATCCAGAAGGAATAGTTTTGCATTAGATGGGAGGTTCACGAGCATTGGATATGTGATATCATCGCAGCCAGGTGATGTGTTTCTGGTATTTTTAACTGCAAGATTTAGTTCCGTCATGTTGAAAGGTCTGCTGAAAAAGTTGTCTTGATGTAAACGTGGGGGAGGTTCGACTTCTGCAGCCACGAAGGACGGAGAGCATTTTCTATGGAAGTCGTCTGCCCAATCAGAATTAGTTGATGCTTTCTTTCCCATGGGTATCCTTCTGATGATTTTAGCCTGTTTCCAGAGATCGGTTGATGACGTATTTTTATTCAACTTAGATATCCATGCTTTCCAGCTATTTTTTGATTTTTGTTTGAAGAGTTTCTTTGTTTCAGCAAATACCTTCTTGCAGTGGACGAAGTTGGCTAAAGAACTGTCCTGTTTGTACGTTGCTAAAGCTGAGGTCCTTTGTGCTATGGCACTTATACACTGTTCATCCCACCAAGGAGGGGGTGGCCGTTTCTTAGCTTTAAATGGCCTTAGTATAGGGATGGAGATCTCGCTAACATCATTGATCTTTTCAATGAGATAATCGTATTTACTTTGAGTAGAGTAAAATTCTGGAGTAGAATCGAAAATATCTTCCAATAAGTCATGATACAAACTCCAATTGGCTTTTTTCATATTCCACTTATACTTAGGATAGATTGTGTCATATACTTGGAAAGATAGAGGAATAAACATAAGAATAGGAAAATGGTCCGAACCTAATGTATCAGAAGTAAGTTGCCAATGACTTATTTGTGCAATATCTCGGGAGCAGATTGTAACATCTGGAGCAGTTACCTGCTGATTTGGAGCTACAAGCCTAGTAGGCGAACCATCGTTCATAACGACTAAATTCTTTGATTCGCATATATTTATTAACTGATAACCTATGGAATTATTAAATGAGGATCCCCAGAGATGAGAGTGTGCATTAAAGTCTCCACCAATAATAGAAGATATGCTGGTATTAGAGAAGATTGTGTCCCAATCACCAGCTGTTGAATTGATGTTCGGGGGCCTGTATATAGACAACAAAGTTAAATCAAATGTTTGGTTAATAAGATTTATCCCGCATACAAGTATATCATCATTAAAATTATTCGAAAATGATATTTCACAAAATTTTATACCTTTTTTCACAAAAATGGCTACACCAGCTTTGCCATCAATTCTGTCCCTCCTCACAATATTGTAGCCATGATATCTGATAGTATCGTTTGGCTTGAACCAAGTTTCGCTTACTAGGGCTACGTCAATATCATTTTTTGAAAGGAACATATTCAAACTGTTTCGATTGGACACAGCGGAACGTGCATTCCACTGCATCACCTTTAGCACATTATCGGTATTATTGAAGACGCTAAGTTGAATTTATTAACTTATCTGTTATGCAATGTATTTCGTTTTTCAATGTATTATTATTGATTTTCTTAAGATCACCTAAGTTTTCGGATTTGTTTACAAGTTCAAAAAAAATTTTTGAAACTATGTCAACCATTTCGTTTTTTTCTGAAATATTCGACTGATAGATCCTACTTGAAGTTACTGGATTAGGAGGTTCTGCACTAAAAAAATGTTTCTCTGTCGGAAAATTTATGGGGGGTGATTGAGCTTTACGTTTTTTATTTGCACTAAATGCTGTAGAGGAAGGTCCAGTGTTTGTCATCTGATGAACATGTTGCCTGCTAGGAGAAATTGTTTGAGGGCGGCTAGGGAGATGTGGGAAGGTTACTTCGTTGATATTTTCCAATACTTGGAATCTATTGGAGGTTGAAACATGGTTTGAATAAGAGTGTTCTATAAATTCTTTGGCTTCTGTGAAGGGTAGATTTGATGTGGCCATGGTCTTTTTAATTTTTTGTTGCTTCTGAAACGAAGGACAATCTTTTGATGTGGATCTGTGCGAAGAGTTTTTACAGAAAAGACAGTAAGTATTAGTTTCATTACATGTATGTTCATCCTCTTTGACTTGGCCACATATAATACACCTGGAGTGAGTACTGCGACACTGTCCAGAAACATGTCCAAAACGCAAGCATTTATAGCATTGTATTACCCTTTGTACAAATGGCTCAACTTGAAATAGCACGCTGTTTATATAAAGTTCGTTGGGAAGCATATTGCCATTAAATGTGACAACTGCCATTTGCCTAGGAACTAACTGATGAGTGCCATCACTAACAATTTTTCTCTTTAGACGCTTGACCTCCAGTACGCTTATATCAGAAATTATATTTTCTTTTAAATATTCCTCACTAAACTGAGTATCAACACCCTTGATTAAACCCTTTCTTATTAATAAATTATTTGGGATGTATGCTTTTAGATTCTCTGCTGCGAGTTCAGTGTTACAAACTAAGTGATTAGCATCGTTCAAATTTTTGAGACCTACTTTTATACGATTTAAGCCGACGCGGCTAATAGTCGTTATTTTATCATTCAATTTAAGGTTTTTGTGGAGTATATGTCCTACGTGAAGCGGATGTAGTCTGCCAATATTTTGGCTGTTGGTCTTCTCAATAAACACATAAATATTATTATTTGAGTAATACTTAGCGTTTTCAATCTCAAACAGTCGTGGTTGTTGTTGTTGTTTTTTTTCCGAGATGGTATGCCGGTCCTCTGTTATCGCAACGTTGTATTCGCTCGAGTTGACGCTGGAATTTATTTCACACTGAGGAGAATCTTCACTAAATGTTAAATCATACACAGCAATGTTCACATTAGTGTCACTACCACTGGGGCCTCCCACCCCTGTAGGAGGTGGAGGCATATTTAGGAAATGTATTTAATTAATCTATATAGAACCCGGTAACCCTCGCTAACTATATTATATGATCGCTCCGATACAGGTACGTCTTTCTTGTAAGACAGCCGAAGCGGAACTGAATTTAGATTTATAACATCTCATCATTTCATTGGAATGGGGGGTATATTCAAATCACGACGTTGCATATGTACTACTTACGGCAAAAGTTTTCAGCGCTGTTTCCTTAGCCTTCTTATCAACATCATCTACTTGTAGAGTAGACCATGTGAAAAGATTCATTTCCATTTGCGATTTTTCCGTTGAAGGTTCCGCAAAAGCAGGTTCTAGCGGTAGCTCACATAGTGTAGGCTTCGGGATCAAACCAGGGTAAGCACAACCTTTACATTTGATACCTCCAACTGCTTGGTATGTCTCAAACACTGTTGTGACAAAGAACTTATCTCCTGGAGATTTCATCTAAAATAGGAAAAAACGTAATGCATCGGTTCTCGCTTGTAGTCGTTTGTTTTAATTTTATATACTTTTTTTATTATTTATAATAGAGAATATATTTTGTTGCAGATCTCTACTCAGTCGAAGTGAGGAAATGTAGTAAATAGAAATATACTCCTCTTCAATTTAAAAAATGTATACCACGTAGCAAAATCTTTTCTCTACATTAAAGAGTGATATTTTGTTTTCTTGTATATAAGTCCCGGCCATTTCTTTGTTCCGTTGTTTATACAAAGACCTTTTCGGGCTGGACTCGATCTACGGATGGATTTTTTAACGAAGTCGTACCATTTGGAAAACTAGAATACCCTAATAATGTGAAAATCAACTTCTAGAAAAAAATTATGTCAAATAGGTTGCACTTCCTATGTATGCAACGCAGTTCATAAAGGATCATGTTAGCTCCTATGTGAAAAAATGCATTTTTAGCATAGTTTTCGGTACAACTATGTCGCTAGCTACTCCTCGATCTTTAAACATTTTTTGAGGCAGATACGCTTTCACAAAAGTTATCTCTTGCCGATGGATGGCCCTCCTTTTCCCCTGCGGGCGCACATGATCGAAACTATTGTTGTCGACCAGCGCCGGAAGTCTTGTACTCACACGCATCCGCTGGACAGTGAACCTAGTGATGTAAATTTAAAAAAACAAAACGTTTATTTAGATATGTTGAAAACAAAATGAAAAAACTTGACGTCTCCGTTTTTTTTTATAAATTGTTTTTTTTTTTCAGATACAGTGAAATAAGATATTCTGAAAATAACATACTCAATAGGATTGGTTAAATGCAGTTTCAACCATCAACATAATCCATTAAATGTATATATAAAAAAAGTAAAAGAAAGTTTAGTAACTTAATCCTTTAGATGTATTAGTTAGTTTAGTAACTCAAAACACTTTATGGTTTGTTCGTACAGCCTGTTTGGTGACAATCAGCAAACTGATAGTCGCGACAAGTCATGACCTAGTTTACTCAGTTAGCTGTCACTGATATGTCGCTGACTGTATAGATTACGTTACGAGTTGGCTGAGGGAGTCAAGACTGATTACCGACAACTAAAGGTTGATTCTCACTATACATTCCGTTTCCATTCCATATCAGTTTCGTAAACGTTTCGTAAAATGTGATTGTATACACAGTATATCTTACGGATTACGTTACGAGTTGGCTGAGGGAGTCAAGACTGATTACCGACAACTAAAGGTTGATTCTCACTATACATTCCGTTTCGATTCCATATCAGTTTCGTAAACGTTTCGTAAAATGTGATTGTATACACAGTATATCTTACGGATAATGTGCATACACATGCAATAGCCTGCTTTAAGCGAAGGCGAATATTTAATATCAATAATTTACGGAACGGTTAAGGAATGGATACGGAATGTATAGTGAGAATCAACCTCAATCCGCTGTTCGTACAGAAACTTCTGACTGTTTGATGACTGTCAAATTAGTAAGCAGATAATTGGCCAGTAAATTTTCAGAGCCCGAAATCAAGTACAATAATTATTCGAACGTGAAATTTTTCAGAATGAAGTAGACAATTTCGTAAGAGTTGTGGTATTTCCACTTGCTGTAAACCAGAATGATCGAGGATTTATCGTCCAACTGCTCGAATTCTCCTCTAGAGGGGACACTTTCTAGAAAATAACAGCACCCAAAAATGTCAAGTAGATTTACTCAGCAATTCCCATTCAATTCTTATTTAATAAGTATAATCATAAATTCGAAGAAATATGATTCCACACATCGAATGACAAGTTGAAGAAGTAAATAGTAAGAATTCCGAATAAACGTCTGCAGTGATGCATGAGAAATGTACAGAGTATTGTGAATAACTTTTAATAAAACTCGGATAGTAGTGTTTTTGTTCCCTGTTCCCTTGTCGCACAGCCTCGAACTGTATGCACAAACAGTATTTATATATTTTAGCTATGCAAGTCCCGCCCAAAGCTGATGAAAAAAAAAACAAAATAACGAATTCTGGAGATTTTGTGATACAGCTTTTTTTCACGGATGCCCACGGAGAGGGAGTGGCCGACTGTTTTCTGCTGTGGTGAAAATAATATTTTCCCTATACAGGGTATTTAAAATTCGACCCTCACCAATGAAATCTCGGAAACTTTAAGGGATACGAAGTCGCTTAAATAGGGGCAAAGTTGCGAATTCAGATAATCAGCAAAATGTCGCTTAGAAAGTTTTGGAATTAAAAGAGACGTAAAAAACGAAATTTCCCAAAATGGTTTTAATTTTCTCCTGACTTTATTTGTGGTGGGATTTCAAAATAAATTGTACATCAACTCTGCCACATTTTCTCCTCTACAAGACGGTACAATTAGAATTTCAATATGACGTTCCGTCTCTTGTCCTCAAGCATCAACTTGATTTTTTCTTATAGACGCCATATTGGATTTTTTCACATATGAATAGAATTTGTATTCTGATTCTTAGTTATTCCAGAAGTTCATAGGTAGGCCTTGAAATTATCAGATTCCATTTGTTTGCATAGCATCAGAGTTTGAAAGACTGTGAAGATCTCTGCTTATTTATGGTTATTATTGTTATTACTATCAATAAAATTTTCATTTCGTGTTCCGATTTCACCATATCTTTTTATTTCCTTATAATTTTCATCCAACAACAAATTTATGGTCATCTAACAAAACACATCACTGAATTTAGGGCTGGAAAGTCAATTTGAATGTACAAAATTCCAATATAGCGTCTGTATGAAAAAGCAAAGTTGATGATGGAAGTCGAAAGAAGAAATTTGTGCCATCTTGTGGACGAGAATAAGTTACAATGACAATCTGCTATTTATTTTGAAATCCCTTCTCAAATAAAGTCCGGAAAAAAATAAAGCGATTTTGGGATAAATCTGATGAGCGAAACAAATATGTATCTGATAATTTCTAGGTCTACTTAAGAAATTCTCTTTTTTTTTGAAGTAATTATTAATGTGTGACGTATTTTGCATTTTTTGAATCAAAACTAAAAGCTCTATTCATCTGTCTTCATCTGTCCTTAAGAAATAATAAAGTTGATGTTGAAGTGCAAGAGAAGAACCATCATATAGAAATTCGGATTATGCCTCATTGAGAGGAGGAAACGTGCAAATGTTAATGTGCAATTTATTTCACAATCCCAATATAAATAAAGTCAGGAAAAAATCAAAACAATTTTGGGAAAATCCAGTTTTTCTGTCACTCTCCGGAAGTACTGTGAATTTTTAAACTTTCTAAGTGTCATTTCGTTCACTACCCCATTTAAGCGACTTCGGATTCCTTACAGTTTCCAAAATTCTAATGGTGAGTGCCGAGTTTGAATTCCCTTGTATATGCAAACTCTCACTAGAAGAAAGAAGTAAAAATACCACAAGGACTTAATAACGTCTTTGAATAACAAAGGGTGATATACACTAGAAAACTAAAACGGCTGGACATAACTACAATAAAATTATCAAGATCTGCTTACACAGCTATATATTTCACAGTTCTCAACATAGACAAAAAGAAGTGAGACTACGAAAATACATAGAATTAAGACTTAAATCGCTAATTTCGCATTTTGCAACTGTAACAAAGATTTTCAAAAGATTAGTGATTACAAAAATACACAAATTATGGTTTTTGAAAGTTAGGTCCTCTATTGTTCGGATTTTTCATACTGTATTCATAATCTTCATTTTGCCATTACCGGGCCAATAAACAAAATGTTTCTTCTGCCACTTGATCACCCGAAGATGTTACAAAAGCTTGTTGCTGTTGAATTGTGGCACTGTTTTCTCCACAAAATTCAGGTTTTTGGGTTTCATTCTCTCCTCCATTAGATCTTCTTGGTATATCGCTCCTAATGGAGATTGTTGCACGATCTTGACACCCTCGGAACAAAGGAGCGGTCTTATCGGCCAGTTCTGGATGTACGAAGTTAACACAGTTAAGATGCTTGATCGTCAACGGCCCGTCGGTGTGGAGGTGTCCCCAGACCGTCCATTAGAGAAGAGTAATCGATCATTAAATGCCTTTTGCGAAGCAATTTTAGTCCTCAAGATAGTTTTGACACACTCTGATAGCTGTCACTGTTACTGGTTGACTGGTGTCCTCTGATCTGTCAGAAGGTTCTGTACGAACAGCGGATTAGCTGTCACCAAACAGTCAGAAACTGTACGAACAGGTAACATCTCTCTTATTCTGATTTTGACAGTCACCGACAAGTTACTGACTTACGAACAAACCATTAATCTTCATCCGTATTGTCAGTACTGTCTCTGTCACTTGCATGTCTATTACAAGTGGTTTCTGAGTTTGTTATGTCTATGTCGTCTGGATATTGATTAATCGTTAGTGATTGTGAATCTGAACTGACCGAAGATTCAAAGGGAGATTAAATTATGAGCAATGTACAATCTTTCTGGCTCTGTCGTTTTTCAATCAATTTCGTTCACTGGTATGAATATCGCTGTTAGTGCTAAATGTTCTCGTGCATGCTGTCGATGTTGTGGGTAGCGAAAAAATTTTTGTTTATACCAAAGCAGCCGCGCAGGCAGAAGCCTAAAGAAATTTTGCTAATCCGACTTTGGACTGACTAAGGTTAATAGAACTGGGAAAAGCTTCCTCTTGTACATTGTTCCACAATCTCGACACCCTCGGGACAAAGGAGCGGTCGTATCGGCCAGTTGTGGATGTATGAAGTTCGACACGGTTAGAAGGGGAGTCCAAAATCAATCGGGTCTGTCTGGTAGGCACAACGCGCGGCGGCATAATGGAAGAGAGCACTGAGGCGCAAAGTCAGTTGGTGTAGCGGTAGAAGAAAGCTAGATCGCCGACGGTCCGCCGGTGCGAAAGGGTTCCGAGACTGTCTGTTGGAGAAGAGTCGTCCTTTTGCTGTACAGAGCCTTCCTATGGACAGCATCGAGCATAAATAATGCAGTCGGGGCGGCAACACCCCAAACATGTGAACA